ATGTTGTGCGGGCCCACGTGGTAAAAGGAATTAAACTTAATAAGAAAAAGAAAACACTCACTTTTCAATAAAACTTTAGAATATATAATTTGATTGACACAATTAATAATACAATACACGTTATTTACTAATATTAATACAAATGAATAGAATAATAAAATATTATGACATAGAATGATATAGAATGATTTAGAATGATATAGAATGAGTGTAACTAGCGCATACTAAACCACGACTGACTGTAGGGTACCTACAGTGGGAGTCCTTTTCCCATGGTTGCCCTAAAACCCTTGNTACCTACAGTGGGAGTCCTTTGCCCATGGTTGCCCTAAAACCCTTGGTCAGCACATTCCTGTGTTCGACAACAGTCGGACGACCATGTATATAATACTCTACACAATTATAAAATAATATTCAGGGGTTCTTAACACTAAATTAATCATAAATTTAAAAAAAAAATGATTTTTAGTTTCACCTGAATTTAACGATGGATTTTTACAATTATAATTATATTTTATATTACGCTCAATTGAGTAAATCTTTTTAACTACTTTGGTTTGATTGGTTCATTTAATTAAAGTAAATTATTAAAATTAATTAAGTTCTGAATATTTCAATTGCAGAATTTTTTTAAACACCAAAAGTTATTAGGATATGATTACTATTCTTTCTATTTCAGTTATCTATTACGATAAAAATGTAAAAAAATCGAATTTTTCTGACAAATGTACTGTAATTAGTAATTATAAAATTTCCAGATTGCATATTAATCTTAAAAATTTCATTTTTTTCAATTTAATAATGTCAATTTCAAACTTGCAAGTTGAACTATAAGTTATGGTAACAAATTCATTTTTTAGCTTCGATGCGAAGCTGAGAAGGTATTTTTCATTAAAACTTTCACTTTAAAAGACAATAAAAAATAGGTTCAAAATGATTACCTTTAACATATTAAAAATCAAAATCAGTATTAATTTAATACAATTTTTTTTGTTCTTAATTATTTTTTTTTATATGTAAATACTTATTTTTTAATAATAAGTAATAATATTAAAACTTAGAAGTAATAGAAAAAGTTTAATTGCACATTTGAAAACATCACGAAAAGTTTATTTAGAAAAGTATATTTTTTTTCTGATGAAAGTTCCTTTTGTTTAGTGTATTTATTCATAAGTAACAAAATTTTTTTATTAAAAAGTATTGCATAAATTCCTTTAAATTTGTATACGCATTAAAAGTATATGAATATACAACTCCTTTTTATTTTTATAATATCTCCGTAAAAATTACAATATTATATTATTGAATACCACTTTCATACTCAATTTAATTACTGTAATTATTATGTATTCATATATTATAGTTATAAATCGGGGTAAAATTAAGGGAATAAGTGTTATTGTTGTTTTTGAAATAATCTACCAATTTCATTTTTTTCTATTTAATAATATTTATTTCAAACTTGCAAGTTGAGTTAAAAGTTATGGTAATAAATTCATTTTTTTTTTATTAAAACTTTCACTTTAAAGAACAAAAAGAAGTAGGTTCAAAATGATTACTTTTAACATATTAAAAATCAATAATAATTTGAAAATAATTAATTATAAAAATTATATAATATATAATTAAAATAATTACTAATCTGGATATAATTAAGGAAATAGGAGTTGATGTTGGGTTGGGTTGGTTACATTTTTAACTTTATAATGCTATAACTCATTGAAAAGTGTACGAATCAACACAATTTTTTTATGAGAAATAATATTTTTTAATAATCCCTTTTTCATTCGACATACTTTATCTTAATCAGGGTATTAATAAGGAACTAGCAGATCATGTAGCTTTTGTAGTTATCCATCAATTTCTTAGAATTAAACACTATCTACAGATTTGCATCGAAGCGCTTCTTATGATAGTGATTTTAATCACTGTCAGATTAAATCTATACTGGACCCAACTATGCAACGTCCCCAATATGCCACGACCCCACTGTGCTGGGTTTTTTTTAGTCATTAATATTAAATATAAGAGGTTATTTTAACATTATGTTGCTATAACTTTTTAAAAAATACATGGATCAATGCTATTCTTTAATGATACTTTATAAATAATAAACTTTATATAAACTCAATCCTAAAAAAATGATTGATAGTTTCTCCTGAATTAAAAATGGATTTTTACAATTATAATCAAATTTTATAATACGCTCAATTAAGTAAATCTTTTTAACAACTTTGTTTTGATTGGTTCTATTAGTAAAAGTAAATCATTAAAATTAATTAACTTTTGAATATTTCAATAGTAGAATCTTTTAAAACACCAAAAGTTACAATTATTTTAATTTGAATTATCTATTACGATAAAAATGCAAAAAATATTGAGCTTTTCTGATAAACTTACTATAAATAGTAACACTAGTTTACAACAAAATTGACCTATGACTTATGATTGCCATTTTTTATGTAAAATTGTCCATTGAGTTCGAAAATGAAGTCCAAAATACAAAAAGTAGAACAGTTTTTGAGTTATTGCGAAATTAGCGTTTTTCGTATGCTGTGAAAAAGTGT